AACAATACACGCCACCAACACCAGCAATAACTACGACAACTGCTGGCGCTTTACCAACAGTTACTCGTAGCAATTTATATGGTGGGCGCGCTGCCCAACGTAGTCATTCCTTTTTAGATGCATATTTTAAAAAATTGCAAGCCCTACAAGCGCAGCAAGCAGCAGCTGCGCCCGCACCCCCCTCAGCACTTCCACCTACCGTATCGGTATCGACTACAATAACTTCAACAACAGCGTCACAACAGCAGCAGGCACTTAAGGAAGCCGATAACTTTGCCACACAATTCTTAAAACGTACGCTGAATAATCATGTAAAAAATAGTAGTAGAAATAGTAGTAGTAGCATTAGCAATAGCAATAGCAATAGCAATATTCATAATAGTAGTAAAAAAGATAGACAACAGCTCCAACAAGAGCAAAAACATATTGAACAACATAAAAATGCAGACGAACTCATTACAACAACACAAGAGCCTGCTTTTGTGACAAATTATATTGGCGATGACACAAATAATTTGCCAGCAACTACTGCATTGAATGCGCAACTACAGCAACAACAACAACTATCATCATCATCATCATTAGCAACAACAACAACATTATTATCATCACAACCACAAAAACAACAAATCAAAACACAAAAACTCATACGTAGACAAAAACAACAATTACGCACACAAATCAAATGAACAAAATTAAAAAGCAGTCAAAATACAAAAAAAAAGAAAACCTTTAATTGTAACGTATGAAAAAAATCCTCCATTTTGTTGTATTAAATATAAGGAAATCTGAAAACAATAATTTTCATTAAAAGATACAAAATATATAAATAATATAACAAATAGATAGAACTTTAAGGAATTCTTAATTAAATAATAAATCAAACCATTAACTACTACTATAAGGAAAGCAACCATGAGCAATCTACTACGTTAATTGTTAAAACAATTCAAAATGGCGCTCAGCTCAATTAGCCATATTTGTTAAATAAAGCAATCAATTTCTATTAGCAATTTCATGCGGTAAGCATACTTGAATATTTCAATGCAATTAATTCGAATTAATTCAAAAAGGCATATTAGTAGTAGAAAAATAAAGTAGTAAATGCTTGGCAAAAATAGTAACATTTGGTAAAACAGTATGCGATTCGCTAGAGAAGCTTTCTAACAAAGTACACAAATAAGATCGTACATAGATTATTAAAAATAAATTCAGCAAAATTAACTACCATTTTAATTATAAAATAAAATTATGCAATAATTATTAAAAGGCAACTTAACATATATCAATTGGCAGCAGCAATTGGCTTAGTAACCAATATTGGCATATTAAAGAATCAAAATGAAACGCCGAAACGTAAAGTATATATCTGATTGCATGGCAATGGTGGCATTTTAAATTACCAATTAAAAAAAAACAAAAAACATTCAATACAAAATACATATGAATAAAAAATTTAGTAAATAAATATTGGAAGGAAATTTTTAAAGTCTGGTTTACATACTATTTTCATAATAAAGCCTATATTTCATGAAATTTTTCCATTTATTTGCTTTTCATATTTTCGATTATAATACTTAAAATAATAGTGACTTTAAGATAGTAGACTTTTCTACTGAATTTAATATATGACAAAAATTTTGAAATTAAAAAAAAAAAAAAAAGGAACTACGAGGACTTAGCAGTATTTTTAATTTGAACTCATCTGGATCTTTTAGACGTAAAAGAAATTCATGTAGTACAAAATCAAAATACAAAAGTATTTTGAGTAATTAAATATTTTAACAAATTTCTTTTAGTAGTTTTAGGCTCTCAGTAGAGTAGCCTAAACTTACGATCAATAAACATTTTGTACAAGAACTGAACCTAACGAAACAAAAAACACATTTCTTTCAAAAAAAAGATCAGAATAACAGAGAAACACAGAATAGT